TGATGATAATGAGGAAGATTACCATGATGATGATAAAGATGATGATGATGAAGATGATGATGAAGATAAGGATGATAAAAATGATGATGAAAAAGAAGATGATGATGAAAAAGACGTCGATGGTAATGATGAAGAGGATGATGTTAACGACGACGATGATGATGATGATGACGATGACGCTAGTAATGACGCCAATAACAATCTTCAAAATAATTTGGTAGATAATGAGAATCTCGATAATAATTGTTAGCAACAATAAAAATAATAATAACAAATAAAATAATAATAAAAGTAATAACAATAAGAATAACAATAATAATAATAAATAATGATAAGCATCATTAGAAGCTGCATTTCTATTTAAAGAGCCAAATTTCTAATCGAATTTCTGTTTACTTTTTATCTAGAAAGAAATTGTGTTGTCAGGGTGGGGCCCTCTGAGTGTCCGATGGATACTCCCTAACCTTAACCCTCAAAAAATTTGCAAAATTGCGATGACATTATTATGTTATTATGAACAAAACGTTAATAAGTCACATTGTACATCTAAACAGTGTTATATTACATGTTATTTAATTTTGGTGTTTGTAAAAAATAATCGCGTGCCAGTTTAATATATTTTAAAGGTCAATTTGTTTTTAATATGTTTTAGATTTATTTAAATGAATAAAAAATAATTATAAATTCTAAATAAAAATTTCTAAGTAGGTTGCCATTCCTCAACGCTGGGTAACTCTTGACATTTAAAAAAATATCCGATTTATAATTGCCCAGTATAATCAGTTAAATTTCAAAGTTATTCAAATGCCAAATAATCACTCATAATTTTCAGTTTAAAATTTGTAAAATTTTTGTTTGTTAATAATTATATAATTTGCTTGTTGTAATTAATATACATCGCGCATATTAAAAATGTTATCATTATAATTATTATTATTATAAAACTTATAATTAATTCATAAATTTGTAATTCATAAATTTATAAATTCATAATTCTAAAAATACAATTTATCATTTAAAAAACTCATCGCCATTTTCCTTACGTAAGATTTAAACATGTATGGGAATGGTTAAATGTAATCATTCAATGCTTAACTTTGCTTTTTTCAAATTTGGTATAGATAAGGTACAGATAAGAGCTTCAATAAAATTGGTAGATACACCATCATGTACTGATTTCATTCTTTAGAATAATAAGTCAATTAATTAATCAATTAATTAATTTGCTATTTAATTGGATTAATTATTTGGTATACAACTACTACAACACATAATTATTAACATATAAATTATAATGATATAAGTTATAACTTCCTCCAGGAGTCATGTTTGACAACCGCACAGGCATAGCGAAGACTTGCGAAGTCTTCCAGATGAAAGACAAACCGCAGATAAGATTCCAAAACATCTTTTCAAGCATGGAGATCTACAACTCTTCGTACCAATACCTCAACCAAAGTTTGTACTACTGCTGCTGTTGGTGGTGATGTGATGATGATATCGTGGCGATGATGATGATTGTCATGATGATTTGGACGATGATGATGTTGTGAGGATGATGATATTGTGATGGCGATTGTGATGACGAAGATGATTGCGATGATGATTGTGATGATGATTGTGATGATGACGTAATCACCAGACATTAGTACTTGTGCAGAAAACTTGTTTATGGAATGGGAATGTAAGAATTCCAATTGGAGATATGGGATTTGTAAACGTTATTATAGGATGTGTAAGTGTGTGTGTGCGTGTGGATGTGTGTGTGTGTTAAAAAAGGATCATAGGATCAGTAAAAGTAAAAAACGGGATAATGGGATTTTTGAATGGGAAAATAGGATTTGTGAATGCACGTAGAACGGGAGTAGGAAATGGATACACTGTATTGCTGTGGAGAAGTTTCTATATAAGAAAAATTCAATCTTGCTGATGAATCTTCTCACCGGAGACTTGCTTTCATTTTCTGATGCGGGCCTCTGAGGCTTGCAACAAGCAACGGAACAATTCAACTGGGATGTCCTTATTTGTCTTGCATAGCATACATCTGCTTGCGTATGCATGCAAATGCTGACTGAACTAGAAAAACAAAAATTTGAGAATTTCTTGTCTCAACAGCTATTATTATTTTTACAGGGAATTTTTTGTTGTCAAAATTGCAAGAGTAGTTTTTGCGGCGCGCTTGAAAGAGCGACTTGTGTGTGTGTAGCTCCGGCACAAATGCACAAACACACGCGCATACTTAGAAGAGTCATTATTTCAGTTTGTATCACCGACCATAAAAACACTCGGTTTGCAAAATAGAACAACGCCGTGATACTGAAGCACAAGAAAATGAGCACAACGCAATAAATACTTCAACGAAACTCGAGCGTGTCGCAATAGTACTTAAGAGGACTGCACATCAACACGACAATGCTTTCAGTGCAACTACACAATTTTACTTAACACATTCCAACAAAACCGAAACATTTATAACAACTTTGGCTTAAGAGATGCAACGTAGCAACAACTCAACTGAAAATCGCCAAGCACTCAAACAAACCAATCAACAAAAACATCGAACATACAAACGAATATACAAACCAGATACGAGCAAAACTTCATGCATACAAATGAAGACAGGGACGAGAAGAAAGACATCAATCTACTAACACAGCCATAAATCAAATGAATGCCACAGGAACGAGAACAGCCCACAAGTACACCGCGACATAAATATACTGAAGTCATAATTCTCACATTTTCATTTATCTCAATCGATGCATGATTTGAAGTTTTTGATTCTTTGAGAAAGAAGAATACGAAATGAAAAATTATTTGAAATATGAACTGCGTATCAATCATCATTGTGGAACTGCCGGCTCAAACAATGAAATAGAATTATAGGGAACTGAACACAACTTAACATTACATAGCAGAATGGAATAAAATACAACAGAAACCCAATAGAATAAAATAGAATACTTTTCATCAATGGAGTATAATCATTTTAAAGTATAAAATTTATTCTATTAGAATCTATCCAGCTCAATTTTACAACTAGTGACACTACCCCAACATCTAGTCAACACCAACAACAACATCAACACCACCAGCACCACCACCAACAACAACAACATCACTTTCACAAGCAATGCAACAACATGTTCTCAAATGAAACAAATGAAATATGCATAAAGTGATGAGAACAGACCATAAATCTTTTGCAACAATTAATTTCTTATATAAGTTAAAGCTTTATTCTTTCCATGCCATCTTCTTTGTATATTTTGTTTATGTTTAGTTTTAAATTTTTTGTTAAATCTTTTTTCATGTCACTATCCTTAAAATTTTTGACGTCGTAAATGTTGTTTTTAAATATATTTGGATTTGGCTGTTGTTTAAAATAACTTTATTAATTAAAGTTTTGTTGTTTTGTGGTTTTAATTTGTAGTGGCTTTTTACAAATTTGTCTGTTGTTTAGATTTAATTTTCATTTTTGTTGTTGTGGAAACTTTTTTGTTTGTCAAGATGTTGTTTTTTTTGGTGTTTACGTTTTTTGAACCTGCTTTTAAATTATTGTTAGCAAATTGTATGAAGTGGTGGAGTGTAGTATTTCAACCTTGATTTGAGTTTTTACAGACTTTCGCTGCTAGATTTTGTATTGAATTGTGATGTTTGGTGATCGCTTTGGATGCATTTCGTTTAATGTGGTTTTTTAAACTATTCTGTTGTTGCTCGAATTTTTGCTGAGAGGGCTCGATGGTTTAAAAATAAGCAAATGAACTGCTGCCGTCGAAACTAGGTCTTTCACGTTCTTCCATATTTTACGTATTTTGAAAATGAAACTTTCAAAATTATTATTCAAAGTCTTCCATATTTTACGTCTTTGGAAAATGAAACTTTATAAATCGTCACTCAATACAAACCGGATAAAAATGAGCCAAATAGATCGTAGCAGAAGGTGCACATAATGCAGTAAATGAATGAATGCATGAACTGTTGATTCCAGATGAATGGGTGCATGACCGGTTACCTCGCGGTTGAACAAGCAGCTGACTGATGATCCTGCTAATCTTATTCTGTGCCATATTTATGCTGGAGGAGCCATTTGTTCTATTTTTGTTGGAGTTTTTGATAGGGTTAAAAATTATTTTTATGTAAAAGTTGTACAATTTTTGCAGATTGCTTTTTGAAGCTTCATTATTTTATTTGAAAGTTTCACAAAAAAAGAGTCGCTGAGACAAAGTTATTAATCAACAAAAAACTGCATCCGTTAATTTGCTGGCAACAAAAATTTCTTTTTAAATTTTTACGAAAAAAAATATCGGGAAAATGAAAATGAATGAAACAATTTGCAAAGCCAAACTTCTTGCTTTCTTGTAGTGACAATCAATCAACATTTGCACAATTTTCAACATTTTTGGTTGCTTTTTTTCATGTCTGTACAAACGATGAACATTTAATGTAGATAACATAACATAAAAACGATAACAATATAGATTAAACTGAGCTACATATTTTTGATTTTATTCCTATAAAACTGAACAACTTATTTGAAACTTTAAAGTTTTCTAAACACAAACATTAAAACGTAAACTTTGTTAAACAGTTAAAATAAACTACTAGCACAAAGCAATTTTTATCATCGTTGTCCTCAATAGACATAATACTACCGCTGCTCTACATTTTCAAGTCTTTAGGCGTGTTTAGAAAGAGGAGAGAGATTGAAACATCGGCAGATTGGACAGCAGTACAATTCGAGGTGACCTTGAATCTTGCAATTTAACGCTTGGTGCATCCGTATCAACACGCACAACACCAAGATGGGTGTGTACGCATATGATGGATGTACTACACACGCATGCTCGCATATTAAATTGCATACACACGCACGTGCGCGTACACACACGCATACATACATACATACACACACACACACATATATATATAAAATTGCCATTTTCAATGAATTTGTTTGTAAAGGCGGTGCACACTCATTTGAAAGAGACATGTTTCCCATTATAATTCAATCAAAAATTGAATGAGAAATAGGTGAAAAACCACGATTTTAAAGTTTGAACGTTTCTACATCACTGTTTTTTTGCCCAAAGTCTAACAAAGTCTAACCTGGGTGACCGACATACATACGGAAACATGGAAATGTTTACATAGAGAAAAATATTTTAGATTACTGGAGATTTCAATTTTAATTTTCATGCCTACACTGATGACATTCAAATAATAGCTAGTTTTTTTGTGTCTTATGTAATGTTGTTGAAATTTTTAAACTGCCGTTTTTTAAAAAAAATCCAGCTTGATGGAATCATTTTATGATACAATTATTATTGGTGGTAGACAAAAAGCTGCTAATCTGCTAAATATAAAATCTGTTAAATTAAACTTTTGTAATATCCATTTTAATTCTGTTGTGACACACATTAAGTGATTGTCATTTTATGTCACATTTCCTTGATTAAACGTTTGCACACTTATTGCTAAAAAAAGTTTATTATTATTATTATAAGAAAACTTGTATAGCGACTTTAATAGAACTACCCAAAGTCGCTATCCAACATAACCAAAAAAAATTTTTGTACATTTAAGTGATCAAACAAAAACATAAATATTTTGAAAATAAACATAAGTATACATTGTAAAAAGAACTAAAACAAAACAGATAAATCCTTTAAATTCATGCACAGATGCACACATATACTCTTGACCATACCCAATCACTCAAAGTAATGTAACAACCATATAAGAACCAAACAGCAACCATTTTAAACCAAATCATAGATACATTCATCCACACTTTATCCACACCGATCACACACAATTACGCTCAAAAGATGCACGATAACATATAATTCAGAACAACCAACAACCCAACCACCAGCACAATAATTATAAATCGATTCAAATTATTAGAAACTTACGAAACACACACATCTCCTCACATCCAAAACACATTCAACGTAAGCACATCCCATCATAAAACACCCACATACATTACGTACTCGACAACTCAATTAAATTATATGAAGTGTCAAACAAAATCAAAGTGAATGGATCAGATTTTTGATCTTCAACAAACGAAATCTTTTCAAAAACTAGACCATTGCACTGTTGCAAATTAAGATCAGACGACAACGATTTCTTCGATCCCTGTACTCGATTTGCAATTATTTGTAGAGATTTTACTTTAGTTGGTCTTAAGTTTAGAATCGTTGGCTGCGAAATTGCGCCTTCATGGATTGCCAATAATTGGATTTTGTAAAGCGTTGAAATCCCATCTCTTTAAACCGACCGACGTTCCTATGCAACAACCATCTCGTCTCATCTTTAGACATTATTATGTCAGATGTTGAAGAAATAATCACATGATATTAATAATAATAACAGTAATAGTATTAATATTACAACTCTCAATATCATTGATAAAAAGAGCAATAATAATGTAACTCGATCTTACAATGTAACTCGATGTAGGCAATACTGTTGAATCTTCACAACTTGCGGTCGAATGAAACCGCGAGAGTACTCGTGACAATGTTGGCCAAGTGATGATGTTGCGTAACAAACATCTGCCGGAATCAATATGAAAAAACTGATTAAACTAGTGCTGGCCCGTTAAAAAGGCTTGTTGTTATTGTGATCTTTACTGATATTCTGTTCATTACCAGTCTGCTGTGGAGAAAAATTTTGTACAATATATAAATTTTATATAATTTTGTTTGTATGCAGCGGAAGAGATTAAGTCAGTCTCAAATAAAAAAATGTATTTTGATGTTTGAGGTTTGTTAAAAGTTGAAAACCAGCCAAATACATATCAATCAGCCAGCAGTTCTTGCATATTGTGTTTTCATTAGGACAACAATATAATTGACAATGTCGAATTATGATGATGCCACCACTGTAACCACAAGCACTTCACAATTTATTGATCATACTTTTATCTATCAGCAAAAAATCAATTATCTTGTTTCTTTCTACAGAATTCGGCATCAACTCAACACATGCACTGAAAGTCTTTTAATTGGAAGAAATGATTTTCGTGTAAGTCCTTTGATCAATTCCACATAAAGCATCACCGCTGGCCTATAGAGGGATATATGTCTAATCTTTCGTTGTTTGTTTGTGCCATCTCACAAATCCTTATAAGAATACTAACCATGGTTTATTAATTTGCTTGTGCGTCTGTTTGCATTGGGGGCGTTGGCTATTTTCTATTGTATTTCAATATTTCAACGATGTATAAATGTTTGTATATAATCTATCTAATTTGATTGGTTGGATAATTTGGGCTAGAATTTTATGTGCGAGGTATATTTTGATGTGAATGTATGTGTATTAGTTTGTGTACATTAGGGGTGGGCAAACGTTTTGCTGTGAGGGCCACATTGAGAACTATTTTACCTTTGAAAGGCCGCATATGTACTTAAATAGCAAATTTTTTCGATTCGGGGGAAAAATTTTTTAAGATTTGTGGCTCCTTTTTGGTCATAATGTCTGGCTGACGACATTTTTTTTTATGACGAACAAGGTTTCGCGGGCGGTATAAAATAGCTTCATGGGCCGTTGTTTGTCCACCCATGGTGTACATGTATCGGTGTATTTGGTTGTGTACAAATATTTGCATGTGTATTAATTGCATACATCTGTTTTATTTTAATTTTGTATTTTGTATGCAGACAAGAGTGCGGCCCTTGAATGTTTATGCTTGCCGGCTTTTGTTTTACAATTTTCTGGTTTTGCATTAAGGCTGAATGCGTTGTAATTCATTACGTATGCATGAGACCGAAGGCTTTCTTTTCGAATTGTTGCAAAAATGCTTACATTCTTGTTCAGAAATCTTTTTGCAACCACCGCGCGTTTTAGTATCCAATGGAGGATGGGACGGTTTAATGATGGGTGTGTATGTTCGTGTGTTTTGTGTTAGACACATGTGTGCAAACAAGTTAATAAATGTAAAAAATCAAAAAGTAGACAAGAAAACACAAGAAACAATTGAAGCAAAACGAATGAAATATTTTTCGAGTAACCTGCAATGAGGAAACATCACCAAGTAGGCATGTGAACAACAGAGAAATTTTAATCAATCCTTTTGATAAATAGCAAGAATCAAATGTTATTTATTTTTTGAAGACTTTTTTTTACAAAAATTACAAAAAATATGGTTTCGGTCATAAATTACATTTGTTTTTATCTCAGAAACTATCGCATTACGTTTACATTGCATTAAAACTAAAGTCAGGAGAGTTTTATAAAATTTTTAAAGAATTTTGATGTACAGGATGATCTAAATCTACCAGCTCGCAAGAAGCAACCCTAACGAGCTCAGATCGAAGTGTGTGCTTTGCCGCTATAAAGTTTATCTGTAAGAAACAGCTAAAAATATTTAATTTGTGTATAATAATGTATCATTGTATCATATTGTATCACAATGTATCATTGTATCGTAATGTATCATTGTATCATAATGTATCATAATGTATTATAACGTATCATCGTATCATAATGTACCACCAATGTACCATATTGTGTCATAATGAATCGTAATGTATCTTTGTATCATAATGTATAATATTGTATCATAATATATCATTGTATCGTAATGTATTATTGTATCATAGTAACATATGGTATCATGATGTATCAGTGTATCATAATGTATCATATGGCGTCATTGTATCATATTGTATCATTGCTTACAAATTGTGTGACATGTTCTGAGAGTTTTGTGAAAAGTTTTGGTTCCATGAAAAACTGTACACTTCCTTTTGTCCCATTCATTTCCACACTGTATCCAATATTTTTTTTCCATTCAAATTTACTTGTTTGTGATGGCCGCAACTTTTAAATCCACAATTTCATTCCGATTTTGTCTAAATTTAATTTTTACCATAACAAAAATATCTCTTGAGGGTTCCGAGACCTCTTTAACCCTGCGATGACGGCGATTTTTTTCATCCACTGAAGACGAATGGGGTAGATTTCTACCCCAAGGTTAAATCTGATGATAACAACAAATAATGATGACACAAAATAAATTTTATCATGCAAATAAAACACGTTTGGTGAATAACAACAATTTTAATGAACAAAACAATATAATAATTTGTTTTTATTGTTACAAAAAATTTATTTAATTTTTTAACACAAAAAGTGAATGTAATTTGTTCAATTTGTAGAACAATTCCTACATATCATAAAAACATGATCTCTACATGTTGGTTTGTTGCACTTTGAACATTTTAGTGCTGTTTTCTTATCCTTTATTCTAGGACAAGCATGACATCTGCCGGATTTGCTGAGTATAGCAGGAATCTTTGTCTCTACCAAGTCATCCTTGTGGCCAAAGTTAATCCTACTCTGTGAAAAAAATTAAATAATTTTAATATTGCAAATATATCAGACTTGTCTCAAAAATTTACTTCTCCAAGTTCCAGCAGAAATAATCTTATTTTATGTGATTTGTTAACATTCCAGTCAGGATTCAACAAAATCCATACTATATAGGCATTTAAAGCACTTATGTCTAACATATTACTGAAAACTGCCATTGGCCATCTTCTAGTCATTCTTTTAGTTGTGTACAGCCTTAACATTTGATCTGATGTGTCAACTCCACCTTTGGTTGAATTATAATCTAAAATCATAATTGGCTTTTTTGTACTGGATGTGTTGTCTAGGTCACATTGTGTATGCATACTGCTCATCAAAGTTACAACTTTTCCTTTTTTTGGACAATATGACACTAGAGTTGCATCATTATGGAAAGCAAACATAGAAGATAAAACATCTCTGCTTTTTGGGGTAATGAATTCAACTGGAAGTTCTTTTTTACTTTTTCTTACTGTCCTTAATAAAGTAAGCTTTTCTTTTTTCAACATCTGGATAAGAGACAAACTTGTGAAAAAGTTATCACACGTAATATTTCTTCCTGAACCTTTTAAGTTTTCTGACAAATCTAACACAACTCTTTGAGCCTGATTCTTTTCTTTTTCATCATTTGATTTTCTACCTATATAAATTTGTAAACGAGTTACATAGTAAGTTTGACTATCACTCATCATCCAAAACTTTAGTCCATATTTTCCAGGTTTACTTGGAATATATTGCTTGAAAGAACAACGTCCTCTGAAAGTTAGGAGTTGTTCATCAATAGTGACATTTTCATAAGGAATATATGCATCCTCTAATGTCTTTTCCCACATTTCAAACAATTCTCTTATGGGACTCAATTTGTCTTCACTTTTCTTTTGCCTTCGTTTTGATGCATCATCAAACCTCAAAGCACTATTTATTTGTTTGAATCTATCCCTTGGCATGGCTTCATTGAACAATGTGCGTCCCCGCTTTTTGTTCCAAAGTTCATTGACAGCTTCATTTTTTGCTTTGTGTATTCCAGAAAGAATAAGCAATCCAATATAGCAAAAAAATTCTTTTTTATTTAACTCCTTCCAATTACTCATCTGTTTCTCTTCTCCTTCCTTATTCGTCCATTTCAAAATGTTTTCAACTATATTATCTCTAAAAAATAGATGAAATGAAGAAATAGGACTGTCTACATTTTTTCTAGCAAATCTTGTTGGACCGGGTTTCCCGTGAATTACATTCATCATACCACGCCTTCCACATTTGTTGTAAACTGGTTCATTTTGCCAGACTATGTTTCCACATTTAGATACAAATGTTTTGCTTTTTTCATTATCATTGCTTTCATCGGAAGAGCCTAGATCTGAATTAGAGCTGTCATTTTGTACATCTGAAAGTATTATTATATATTCATATTATTGTTATTTGATACATTTGAAAAATTGTATTTTTTATCAATCTTATCTTACTTGAACTCTGAAGTGTATATTTTATTTCATCATCATCGTCGGCGCTGTCTTCAACGAGAAAAGGTTCATTTCCTTTTTCGTCAGTAAATTCTACATCCGAATAATCAGTAATCTCTTCATGCTCACTAATACTCTCTTCGTCACTAGAATTATCAATTATCAATTGTTTGGCTTGCTCTAAAGTAAATCTTTCAGAATACGCCATTTTAGCTGATTGTTTGAAAAAAAAGTGTTGAACTGCTTATTGCCAAAGATTTGAAAAGTTTGACATTAATTTTTTATAGTTGACGATAATACAATCGAATAAAAATAGTAACATAAAATTTAATTGTTCTCCATTACATTCATAAAGTTTTAAATATTTAAAAAAGTGTATTTAATTTGGGGTAAAAATCAACCCCAATCGTCCTAGGTGCTATATGCATTCAAAACTGCCCTCTAGCGTTATTTTTTTATCAAATTTTAGTTTTAAAATAAGAGAAGAGATGATTTTAGGAAAAGTCATAAAAAGAGAGCCCAAGCTTTTGCGTAGTTTTCTTTTTTCATGCTTAGAAAGTAGCTCTGGGGTAGAAATCTACCCCAGCCGTCATCGCAGGGTTAAAAAGTTCTACTTGTCTGAAGATGACGTACTGCTCTTTATGTTTGTAGTTATCATTGCGGCTGTAACAAATATTTTGTAAATGTTTCTTAAAACTAGATAGATAAATTATTTAAAAATTAAATTCCGAGAAGTAAATTATGTCAGCGCGAAATCTTTTAATTAGCGTTACGGCAACAGTGGATAGCAGAAATTATTATAATGAAAAATTTTCGAAATATTCTCAAGAGAGACGGACTGAAAAGGGGATGCCATGTCAAAATGTAATCAACACTTTGTTGCCAGTGCTGCTAAAGAAGAAAAATAAAGTGATGGTCGTTTGCTCAGTGTGGTTCTCGTTCAGTTGTATTTCCTTGTTTTAAAACTTTAAAAATGATAAGCATATGTGAATATTGCCTGATTCGTTTCAACAATTTGAGTATTTGCGATTGTGTTTTTTAACTACAGTAACTTCTTCTAGTATTGCAAACAAGTAAATAAAAAAAACTATCAATATTACGGATCAAAAAATACAGGGTGTTGAACTGATTTGTCTTTTATAAGGAATTTTATTGAGGTTTATTCCATTTTGTATAATACGTTTCAACGTTTTGAGTGTGTGTGTAGTGTGTGTATGTGTGTGTGTGTGTGTTGTGTGTGTATCTTTTTTTAAACCTTTCCATGCTAAACCTCCATTACCTCATTTGAATGATTTTTTTTTTCAAATTTATGTTTTTCCGCCAAAACTTTAGCATTAAAGTATTACGCAATTTGTTACGGGATGATGTTAAAAATGGCTAAAAATTTAATTTAATTGAAAAGGAAATTTGAAATTTAATTGATTATTTATTCAATTCTTGCAAACAAAATCTGACCAAAGACAGATGACTAGTTTGATGTTGATAGTTAGACAGATGACTGCAGACAGTTTAACCAATGATTTGCTAAGAATGAATATTTTATGCGTAGACCAAACATTATTTAATTTGTGATGAATAACATTAATTTTTCAATTTTTTATTTTAGTTATTTATCATTATTATTTATTATTATTATTATTTATTTCAAATATATTTAATTGTTTATTTATTGTTGAAAAAAAGTAATTAATAAAACTATTTAGTCATCAGGAGACATTGCCAAGCCTGAAGTCTAAAATGTTTATTAAACATGACAACTGCTGACAACCAGGTTGACGAGTTTGCTCGTTTGCTCAAAAGGTTGCACAAACACACACACACACACAAAAACACACACACAGATGGTTTATATATATCTATATATATAGATATGTTGGTAATAGACCATAATTTTTACGATATTCTATAAATTCTACTGAATGTTTGGCGTTAATATGTTTGTAGTTCGTTTTTTCGATTTTTCTCACTAAAGTTTTTTGGTGAACGTTTAGTTTATTAAAATTCAAAATAAATTTATTTTTCGAATTCATGCTGCAAATAAGGCCATATTTCGATTCCGAATGAATCATCGTCAGTGCTCCTTGTTGTATATATATGGAAATATTGACTTTGTCAAGATTAACTTTGACGTTGTAAAAATTAACTTTGGTGTTGTAAAATTGAACTTTGATGCGAATTAGGTGTCAGGTTTCTTAATTGGCTGGTCATCTTCTTTGGTCTCCTTTTCTTCATCGATAGCATCATATTCTTCTTTGTCACTATTTACGATGCTAGTTATTATGCCGGAAAGAATTTATAAATGCATATATGCAATCATCAAAACTAAAACTTCATAAAAAAACTGACCAAC